TGATTTTCACATGTGGTTTGAAACCATCCCACTTCTATGGCTCTCAGCAACTTTTTCTTGAATAATAAATAAGTAAGGAAACTTCAGCAGTTCTGTCTTCCCATTCAGGTAGAAACACATCTTCTTGCATTACCCAAGGCTATTTCTTTTCTCTCTGAGATGCCTGAGATATTCTATGAATTCCATATCTCAAATAATTTCAAATTGGAATGAAGACAAACTAGTTTTTATCTCAGTCTAATCAGATAAGTGTCTGTGATGATATGCCTTCTTCTCAGGCCTGCCATTTTCTGTAATGTCAAGGATAACATTTCACTCTTGATGGGTACTAGGGAACTGCAGGCTGAAGATAATGTTCAAACAACTTCACAAGAGCTATGAAAAAAACAAAAATATGATGTATATTTTCACTGATGAAAAATATAGTGGAGAATGGGCATGTCCCATAGACTAGGCTGAAGTGAGAAGTCAGCAAGAAAACGTTATAAGAGGAGAAAATAATGCCATTATGTAAAATGTCAATTTCAATAACCAAAATAGTTTAATTTCCTTTTATAAAAAGAAAATATTAATTACATCCTTACTGTGAATGAACCTTGTTCTAAATAAATCTGGAAGGCTAAGTCTAAAAAGGTAAGCCAAAATCTTGGGATGATGTCTGCCTATAATCACAGCACCAGGGCAACTGAGACAGAAGGATAGAGAACTAGAGACCATCCTGTCCCTAAAAGCAAACAAGTCCAAGAATACCAAGAGCAAAAGATACTCCCCAAACCAGAGTAGATATTGCAGTGTTAATGTAAAAAAAGAAAACTCATGGTCAAAAGAATTGAAATGGAGCATAGGATATAATTTTAAACCAGAATATCTCCTGGCAGAGATGACAAAGAAAAGAGACTCACTCACATGGTTGGAAAAAGTAAGTTCTTCTGGCCCTGTTCTGTTATGTCAGTCATAAAAAGCTCCCTGCTAACATACTCCTCTTTAATTTATGCTCACTGTGCATGACTTCTACAGGCAAGATACAATTTGTCATCTTTAGGGATTGCTTTTCTTAAATGATTCTTCAAAAATGTCATTTCTTCTAATTTTCTATTGTTGCAAAACACATTGCCTCAGATACAAGGACTTTTACAAGAACATTTATTAATTCAAAGTTTTGTAAGCTAGAAGTCTGGCCTGGCTTGTATGAATTTCCTGGTTAAGGCTTTATAAATCTCTAATCAATGTGTCAGCTGAATCTCCTTCTAATCTGGATGCTGGGGCCCTGGGAGGTGGGTCATGGGCAGTGATGGAATTCACTTCCTTGAAGACACCTTCATTTTCCTGCTGTTGGTCAGCCTTCTGGACATAACCCTTTCTTTCACCTTTAGTGCTGGCTACTGCACCTCAAACTCTTCCTCTATTTCTCCTGCCACAGCCAGGGCACTGTCCTCATGATAAGATCAGGGTTCCCAACCCCCTGAATGTGGGTGTCAGTGAGGAGGTCTGGGCAGTCTATGGGGCCTCTGGTAGTAGATCAATATTTATCCTTAGTCTACAAATGGATTTTGGGAGCCCCTTCCCCCATGGAGGGATACTCTCTCAGCCTAAACACATGGGGGAGGACCTAAACCCTGCACCAAAGGCTATGACAGACTTTGAAGATCCCCCATGGAAGGCCTCACCCTCCCTGGGGAGCAGAAAGGGGATGAGATAGGGGACTGGTGGGGGGGATAGGGGATTAGTGGGGGGCAGGGGAGGAGGGGAGGTAGAGGGAGTTGGGATTGACATGTAAAAAAGATTGTTTCTAATTTAAATTTTAAAAAAAGAAAAGAAAATTCACTCATGATCAAAAAAAAAAAGATGAGGACTAGGGTTCCTACATAATATAATATAATCTCTTTTTTGATGAACTCAAAGTCAAGGAATTGGTGCTCTTAATTATGTCAGAAAAATGTCATTTGTCTCATGAGGTGATCTAACTACAGGGTCAATATCGCATCTGCATTATCGTCATATTCCCTTGGATTCTGGCAGGAGACCCAGAGGTGTCTCTGTAGATTTTTAGGATCCTCTCTGCTCCATTAGACAGAGGCTGAAATAGAGAAAATGGTCCTCCAGTCATCAAACCTGGGATTAATGTGTGTTTGAGTCAGAAATATCCCTGGAATTGTGAGTTGCATATCACTGCGTTGCATGAGTCAAAGAATACCTGGAATTGTGAGTTGCATATCACTGCGTTGCATAAGTCAAAGAATACCTCTGTTTAATCCAAGGAGATTGACTCAGCACTCTGTTGTTATCAAGAATGTGCTTGCCCAGTAACTACCCTAGAACTTTCTTCAGAAATCATTGGTGTTTCACGGAGAATTCCTAGACCTAACATCAAAGCCATTGCAGGGTAGGGTAGGGGTGGCAGTTTTTATTTCCTTTGGGCTTGTTTTCTTTCTCAACCCTGGTCAAGAGGCTTTCCAGCTTGTACTCGAGTCCTTCAACCCCATGGGCAATACTGAGGCAGCTTCAGGCTCAAATGCACACTTGTCTTCCTAATCAACCAGGAACCACCTGGACTGTCAATCTCTTACCCAGCTTCCCCGGTGAGCATCTGTGGGCAAAGGATAAATGCTCACCTTCACCAGTAGCAAAAGGGTGCCCAATTCCTCCCAGCTTCTTGCTCAAGGGGAGAGGAAAGTCCTTTATCAGGATTGAAGAGCAGGAAGAACAGAAAAGACTCAGCAAGGTTTCCTGAATTTCCTGGACTTCTCTTTTCCTACGAGCCTTATCACAGCTAAATTGTCTCATCCCTGCTACTGGCAAGCGGCAAGCTTCTAGAAAGCAAAGCCCCACTGGGGAGAAAAAGGAGAAATGGACGGCTCTTTAGAGCACTGGTGACAGCGGATATTTAGTCTTTAAATAATTAAGGATATAGCTTTTGTACGATATTAAGGAAGGCTCTAATCTACACTTGTGTTAGAGCATGTCATTACTATTCCACAAAATTAAATTTTTATCATGATAGTTATGGACATTTCTGCCAAGAAATTTTACTTATTGGCTAGATTAGATATTAAAATAAGGAAAATGATGAATTATGGAATACTAGATGTTGAATATTTAATAAGCCAATCCCATGTTGCCAGTGGAAGTTTCTGAAAGAATGCCTGTTGCATCCTAACACTGAATCGATACTAGTTAATGACAATGGCCTGAGGGCAAGTAGATGCCTAACTGGTTCACAATCCAAATTAGAAGCACAGCAGAAGCCCACTCAGATTTAAAATCATTCAACAGGAGAACTTTTGGCCATTTCCCAGAAGTTAGAGGAACAGGAAAGAAAACAGATGCCTTTGTCAGTTGATTCCTTCAGTAGTTTCTGGGCCATAAATATTGGCTCTAGCTCATAGGACTTTGTTTATAGGTCCCGCTATTTTTCTTTCACATTTTTATATTACTTTGAACAGTATGGGTTTTCTCCTCCTCCTTCTCTTCCTTCTCTTTCTCTTTTTCCTCATCCTGAGAAATGATTTTGACTCCCCAGTTTAGTATAACAGGAGGAAGAGCAGGGGAAGAAAGCAGAGTGGCTGCAGAGAAGGGAAATAAATAAATGAAGGGATGGAGCAAACAAGGGATAGGGAATTGCAAAGCAAGAAACAAGAGGAGGAAAAGTCAAGTAAGGATGGGGGAGGGAGGAGATGAGAGGGGTTGGAGAGATGGAGAGGATGGGTATGAATAAGAATATATTATTTCAAGATAACAGGTGGACTCCAACATTTTTATGTCTGATAAAGCATGCATACATTAGTATGTGGATCACTATGGGAGGTCCTTGTCTTTGAAGAACAGCAGTGGAAATATTATACAATCCTTGATTAAGCTATCAGTGCTTAGTTCATCAATTATGATGTAGGTACAGTTCAAAATCTATTTAAACTGGATTGACATAGACATGAGTTGACATACAGATGAATTGTCAGCCTTCCTAAAGTCTTGTCTCTTAGCTTGATAGAAAATTGGTAGGGGCTGGAGAGATGGCTCAGTGCTTGAGAACACAGACTGCTTTTCTTGAGAGCCCAGATTGAGTGCCCAGCACCCACTACTCATGACTATCTGTAAGTCCAGTTCCTGGGAATCTGATACCCTCATACAACACACATGCAGGCAAAGCACCAAATGCACATGAAATCAAAATAAATCATTAAAAACTTACAAGAAAAAGACATGTGGGCAATTCGAGAGGTGGGGAGAGTTTGGTAAAGAAATGCTATTTTAATGATAGGGAACTGCATGGAAGGTCCTGAGATAGGGCTCCTCTGGGAACTGGGCTCAAGCACCTGGGATAGCTAGGATGGGGATGGAAGGATGAGAAGGTGGACCTCTTTTCCTTGTATGTCATTAAATGATGTGAAAAGACCAATCTTAATTGTGGGTGGGACCATTCTCTCTCTCTCTCTCTCTCTCTCTCTCTCTCTCTCTCTCTCTCTCTCTCTCTCTCTCATTTCATTTTTTCCAGATTGTATTTTGAATCAGGAACCAAATAAGTTCTACTATTCTGATTGCTTGATATGAATGGTAAGCCCCTTTTAAAATGTTTATTTAGTTAGTATTAGGTGGAGCCTCTCTATGTACTCTAGATTAGTCTCAAGCTCAGTCTTCCCACCTCAGCCTCCTGAATGCTAGGGAAGTCCATCATGCCACACTAGGCAGGAGATCTTTCAGTGCCTTCTGGGGTCTGTGGAATTCTGAGTAAAGGGTAGTCAAGTCATATTCATCTGTGCATTTGGCACTGGGGAGACACAGATACAATGATGACAAGAATGAGTGTTGGTAGTTCCCTGGGAGTTGATTTCTGGGTCCTAAACTGCCTAGAACTAGTTTGGCCTCCATATTCCGAAGGGACCAAGACCCTTCTCTGCTCCTCCCCTCCCCCACACTGCACAGTTCCATCCCCGAGTCTTTTGTCATAGGAGGAAAGCAGTGCTCAGCATCTGGGCCTGGAACCGAGCCTGTGGCTGCTCAACTTGTTCATCCCATTTGCTGAATGCCTCTACTGTTTGGCAGGCATAGAGGTAGCCTTACAGGGAGATCATATTCGAGGACTGGGATTTTCTCTTGCTCTTTTTTAGTCAAACTTAATTATGAGCAGAGGTGGGCAGTCAAAACAGCAGTCACTGCTATTTCACCTTAACTGATTCTCTGCACTACCTGCCCTTGTCTCCCCTTGCTTAGGTTAGGCTAGCCAGCCAGTGCAACTTCAAATCCTTAGCACACAGCCTTCCTTCCGAAGTCTGGGCAGACTGTCACTCTCGCTGCATCCTGGGAAATGTAGTTTATTTAATCAGTAATCAGAAGAGGAGCAATCAGGTTAGGAAGGCTGGAGAAACCCCCACCTTACCCTGACTCCGCCTCCTCTATTGGCCCCTCCCAGGTTGCTTAGGAGACAGGAGACGCAGAATCTTGGTCCTTGTTACGCAGAGCTGGACTGGTGCTGAGGGAAGTCCAACCCAGTCTGTTCTCAGCTCAAGCGCAGGCATGGGCACTTTTACTAGCGAGTGTCGTGACTGTTTCGACAATAAAGACCAGTGGTATGAGATTGGACCCACGGACTTGCTGGAGCGCAAGGGCTCCCTAACTCTCCGCTCTCATCACAAGAAATACTCGAAGCCAGTGTTGGTGTGTTCCTGGTGAGCCAAACAGTCGCCGCCATTCATGGGTTCTAGCTAGGGAGGGAGGAAAGGATAAGAATCCATCAGGAGGCAGGAAAAGTAACAGTAATAGGAAACAGTGGAGAAGAGAAATTGGGAAGAGGAGAAAATCAAAGAAAAGGAGTGGGAAGAGGTAAGAAGGATGATCAAGAGAAAAGTGGCACAGAGAAGAGGGGAAACAGACCTTCCACACAGAGCAGTGGCCATGTCAAAGTAAGCTAGAACTCTCCAGGACTGCTCCCAGCACACCAGGACCTGCCCCAGCCAGTGCTCTGGCGAGGGAGTTTAGCTGTCTACACAGGGGAAAGGAGTGGGAGTCACTTAACAGGCTTGAACGTCACTCCCTAGACGCGATGCTTACTTGTAAACGGAAGTCCTATTAGAAAGCCAGGCCCAACTGGCAAGAGGCAAAGGTCCCTGCACAGGACCAGCGCTGCCAATGTTTGGGGAGGGCGACACACTTGAGAACAGTTCCTCAGGATCCGTCAGACTGTCATTCATGAAGACCATTCCAGTCACAGGTAGCAAAATTTAGTCTCTCCTTGCATAAAGCCAGTGCAGTTTGTTTGGTGTATAGCTGCTTATTTTTTTAATTACTTGGTCACACTTAAAATTCACATAAAATCCAGGGGTTTGTGTTCTCTGGGAAAATTGGAAGGCCTGGAGGACTTCCTTCTAAGTCCATTTTCTTCTGATGATGGTAGAATTCACTAATTCACTCTCTCTCTCTCTCTCTCTCTCTCTCTCTCTCTCTCTCTCTCTGTGTGTGTGTCTGTCTCTCTGTTTCTGTCTCTCTCACTGTCTCTGTTTTTCTGTCTCTGTCTCTCTGTCTCTGTCTCTCTCTCATTTAAAGTGCAAAGTAGCCAATAATCACAATGTCTCTGGAGAAAAGGGGATAATTTTTTTGAGTGGTGGGATTTTTAAATGTAATTGGCTGTCATAGGGAGTGGCACTATTAGGAAATATGGCTTTGTTGGAGTAGGTTTGGCCTTGTTGGAGGAAGTGTATCACTGGGGAAGCCTTTGGGTTTCTTTTGCTTAAGTAAGATTCACTCAGTGTGACACTCAGTTGACTTCCTGTTGCCTGCAAGATACAGCCCTTTCAGCCTCCCTTCAGCACCATGTCTCCCTGCCGGTCACCAGTCCCACAATGATGATAATGGACTAAACCTTCGAAGTATAAGCCAGACACCCGAAATATATGTTTTCCTCCATAAGAGTTGTTATGGTCATTGCGTCCCTTCACAGCAATTGAGCCCTAACTAAGATGGGGGCAGGTGGTCAAGTTTTTTGCAGTAATTTTTCTCAGAATAGCTGTAATATTGGGGTGAAGTGGGAAGACAGAAATGGAGAGAAGTCACAAATCTCATTTACTTTATGCTTTTGCCTTTGATGAAGGATGAATGACTTTAGGTATGGTTGGACTTCTGCACCGTTTGTACCATTTCTGTTCTGCAGAAGTTTAAAAGCCTGTCTACTCCCTATATTTCCAAAGCATGCTCTTTCTGCCTTTATTTCTCATTTCAAAGTGTATTCTCACCTACACTGAACTCACTGTGAGACATTATATATGCACAAAGTCCAAAGCTACCCAGGGAAACACTCTTTTTCAACAACCAAATTTATTATGGAAACAGACTTCTTCACATTGATGGTGTCTTTGCTAATGACAGGGGTGGAGTCCTAAATACCATCGTTTGTCTCCATACATATTTTATGGCCATTAAGCAAAACACTTGTTATGTTCCAAGAATGTGCATCATAATAGATATTGCCTCTGTCAGTTATGGATGAGAAAGGGTTTCAATGGGACAATGCTTCTGCTCCTGTTTGCATTACTGCTACTTTGTAGCTAACTTGTAAGATGCATGGGTATCAATAGCAGAGCAGAAATGTAAAAGGTATGGGGGCCTGAAGAGAAAGAAGGGTGTGTGGGGGGACTGTAAGTCATCAGCCATTCCTGAACATGTGTAGGGCTTTCCTTTGGTTCACAGAGGAGAATTAAATTCAACTCAGCGAATATTTATGTGTCATAAACTTTGCTACACATTAGGATGCAGAAAGAGAAACAAAGTTCACTGAGATAATTTTTGTAAAGCATTTTGTCTTCCTTAGGGTTTCTATTGCTATGAAGAACTGAAACACGGAGGCAGGAGCTGATGGATAGACCATGAAGTGCTGCTGCTTACTGGCTTGCTCCTCATGGCTTGCTTAACCTGCTTTCTGTTAGAAATCAGGACCACTAGCCTAGGAATGGCACTACCCACAGTGGGCTTGGTCCTCCTACATCAATCACTAATAGAGAAAATGCCCTACAGGCTTGTGTACAGCTTGATTTTATGGAGGGTTGTTTTTTTTTGTCAATTGAGGCTCCTTCCTGTCTGATGACTATGCTTTGTGTCAAGCTGACATAAAATTAGCCAGTACACACTGTGTCTAGGATGGTCAGTAATACCCGACAATCAACATTATGTAGTATAGCACAAGAAAAAAAATGATGAACTTGGTCTCTAGAATTTAATGACAGCCCCATGACTGTGTGATGTGACAAGTGATTTGACAGTACCAGGACCAGTGCCATACAGGAACACCTATAAAACAAGGCTATACATTGTGGCTAGAAGGTCACAGGAACCTGAACCTGTTTCCTCTGCGAGAGATGCTCATGAATGGTTTGAAATCTCTATAGAACATGCACTAATGAGAATCTACTGTAAAGATTCAGAAACGGTGGCATCTCCTAAAGCTGGCCACACCCTGCTGTCTTTTCACAAAACCAACCTGTCATTTAATATCTATGCTGGCAAGTCAGCATAAAGTTGAGTGTAAACTTATGAAAGAACAATGTCAGCAAACCCATGATTGTTAGCTATTGATTGCCTTATGACACATTTAAACTTTTCTAATTATATTTAGCAGTGGTTTTTAAATTTAATTTTTAAACATCTAAGGGAGTGCTCCATCAGGGACCTTTTATATTGCAGGCAGAAATGAAGTATGTAACTAGGAGACATTCTGATGTACTCTTCATTGTTTTTTAAACATGGGGATTTTCCCTGCATCTTTCTATCTGGCATGTAGTAGAAGTCTGTTTGACCTCACGGAACATATTCAAAATAATTGTATATGGCAGACCTGATAAAGGATGGGAGGTGATGGATACCTAAGACATTGTCTAAGATGCACCTCTTCCTTGAGCTAGAGTGGTTATTTATAGAACCCATCACCTTTGTCACCTCTTCCTTGAGCTAGAGTGGTAATAGATAGAACCCATCACCTTTGTCATAGCCTGTCTCTAGAAGTCATCTTTGCTTACTCCTTTCTGTAACATTTATGGAACCATATTGTGAGATGTTTCCATTAGAAATGAACTGAGAGAAAACTATCTTGGGATATCTTCCCACTAGCCGGAAAAATAAGAAACAACAAATTCTACTTTTAATAAATTGTCTCATGTGAGGTGAGTTTGTTCAATCATTCACTCATTCACTCCTCATTCATTCATTTGTTTTCTTCTGTTCCTTAGTCAAACTGACAAGCAGTAACAAATGATGATAATTTAAAGGGAAGAAATATTCATCCAGATCTCCATGGAGACTGATCCTGTTCCAGTCTCCATGGCAATATCTAGTTTTAAGAACTCAGATTAATTTTATGCATTTGTAATTTTAATTGTTTTTCTTTCTTGCCTAAGTCTCAAATTAAAGACCTTGAGGGTTACACATTTCCATGCCACTCCCCTACCTCATAATAGGAAGAAAATGAAAATGAAAGTGAAGGAGGGAAAGCCAGATGTAATCCTTGTGGGGACAGGGAATCTCCTCATTTTAAAGATTTTTACAAAAGCTAATTTGGGCATAGATAATAAATTACAGGTAACAGGAAAATTAATATCTCTCTGATACTCTTAGATGGTTGTACCACTGTTTCTGGAGCAGGAGTGCATGTGTATATACGTAGGCCCTCCCCTGAAGATGGAGAGCCATTCCAAAGCACTAGACCATGTTTGTTTGTGCACTTAAATAGAAAACAGAATGCCTGGATTCCTTAATTTAATGGGTCATTCTTTTTGTGTTTAATCAGTGATTTTTTGGGGTGCTGACCTGGAAGGATTTAGAGTCCTCACATCACCAAGGGCCAAACTAGAGTTATGTAAAGCTGTACTGGCCAACAAAACCTGCACCCCCTACCCTATGCATCTCCATTACACAAGAGGATGAAAAAGCAAAGGAGAACGAGCCCTCCCTAAGCATGTACTGTAGCTTTTAAGTCACTGAAATTCATAAGGACATCTTCTTCTGTTATGCCCCCAACTTTGACATAGACCCAGTACCTCAAGAGAAAGCTTATTAACTCTTTACTGAAGATTTGAAAAGATCCAGGCATATGGTTTCCATGCATGAAGTATATAATTTTAACTCAAGTAAGGAGGCATTAATGGGACTTTTTGGTCACTGGTACAGAGAAGACCAAGTCCTGGAACATGGGATGACAACACAGAGAGAGACCAATAGATGTTTACCACATAAATTAGCAAATTGTTGTGAAGCATTCACCAGGAAAGACTAATTGGGCATGGGCTTAAGCCAATAGAATGTCTTTACTAGCCAGTCACCTACTACATTGGGTGTCTGGGACCCCAAATGCAATCTGGACCCTTTTTCCTGGTGCTCTTTTAAGTACAAAAACCACATCCCAGTTGACACATCTCAATTATAAGAAGAGTTAGCCAGAAGAGGAACTGTAGAAGCCTAAAAGCAACTTAGCCCAATTATGGACTTTCCCAGATCTATGAACTTAGATGAATTAGATCTTAGCTCTCATTTTGGTTGGTTTTGCTTCCCATGTGCTATATTCTAAGGCCTGAATTGTACTTCCATCATGCTGCCAGTTGTGTTAAGGTCTGGGAAACTGTTAGAAAAGGAGCAGGTAGAGAGGAGACAGAAGGAAATCCAATAGACATGGAATGCTAGCACTCCA